CATAATTTTGACCACCACCCATGTGGCTTCAAAAGTCACTACCGATAATGATGGTTGATGCTGGCAGGCTTGCGCCGTCGCTGAACAAACAGCTACAGCTCCCTTGCTGTGACAGTAGCATGAAAGGTTATATAGAGGTTCGACAAAGGTCATATTATGCCATGGTTTGATGAGGAAATTTATTTGGTAATTGTATGAGATATACGTGGGCACAGCATTGGCAGCATCACCAGCAATCGCCACGCCCCAAGCCTACTTGGAACCTCAAAAACCTCTGTAGCACCGGAGCCCCGCACTAAATTCAGAAAATCAGGAGCTTAGTTTCCTGTATAGTCTTGTGGGCACTCGGTGTTCAGATCCCCGGAAACAAGATAACAAATCAGAAGCCCAAGGTATCGCCGTCAAGGTCATGGTGCTTGTTTGATCTTTTTACAAGTTCTTCCTGGCTGCTAAGAAATGGGAAACCGAAGGTACCCTCGACCCGACGAGGCCCTTTCTTAAACAGAGCCGAGGCACAGTACTTGTGTAACGGCTTAGGCTTTAGGATGTAGGATACAGGATTCAGGATTTCTTTAATGAGCAGCTCTTCTCCCTTTCTTTCCACGAAGGGATGCAGCGCCAACACTCTCACATACTACTGCTTCAACATCACCCAGAATAGTCTTAGCATGACATAGCAATGAAAACGTAGTCCTAGGAGTACCTACAAGCCAGGAGCACCTCCCAAACAAACTCTACAGAAGACCTACTACGTCTCAGCAGAGCCCCAACCCAAAAACCCTGAACACACCCTCAGCTCTAAACCCTCCTTCTGGAGCAGATATATATATATATACATACACAAATGTATTTGGATGAATTCGCTGTGGACTACATCTCTAATAAAGCCCTACAAAAATTGCCTACTCCTACGCAAAAATGGGGGGGGGGGGGCCGCACAGCATACCCTTTTTCCCNNTGAACCTTAAACCCTGAATCCCAAAGCCCTGAACCCGAATCTTGGGGCCCAAAACTTTGGGCGGGAGTCTGGGAGGGTAAACCCGAAACCTAAACCCTAAATGGTAGATTCCATTTTCTTTTCCATTGTCCCTAAATATCCCCAATATATCCCCCATATAACCCTGTAACCCCTATAAAAACCCAAGCCAGAGGGGCGAAGTTGTCGAAGTAGGCGTGGTGCCAGCCTCACCCGAGCAAGTATGGCATTGAAGGGCTTTGCAGTATTGCTGTTAAGGAACTTAAATTAAGTTACCATCATATGAGTCTATAATAGCAATGACAATAACTAAAGTTGAGTTTCCTAACAGCAACCCGAGGCCCCCCTAAACCCTAAACCGTTAGGGTTTAGGACGGGGGCCTGGGGGTTGGTCTTCTTCCGTACACTTACCCATAGACTAGACAATCAAATGGAAAAGAAAACGGAAATGACATGGACACCAAGGTTCCACAGGGTTATATAGGCAGTACATAGAGTGGAACACCTAATGGAAACGCACGTGGAACATGAAATGAAAACTGGAAGATTTGAGAGTTGGGGTGTCGGAGCTAGGGCCCTAAACCCTATACCCTACAAGGACGAATGTTATGAACTAAAGGCTCTCTTGATAGACGAGCCGGCTGTCAGTGCACCTGTTCAGGGCTCAACATGGACTTCGTGCTGGCGTCATTCACGTGGATGTAATCCCCTCCCCCTAATATTCCACCCCCGAAAGGGGTATATAGGGTTTATTATCAGGGCTCAGGGTTTGGGGTTTAGGCCCCCCACCCACCCCCCCTAATATCAAAGACTCCCTATTGGTAGATATTATGTGAAATTGAACATATTTAATATTAGGGGGTGTGGGTGTTTAATATCAGGGGAAGGGATGTGCTGACTTACCCTGTTTGGAAGTTCGTAATCATACTAAAGGACTTCACCCTTGTGTTGTGTTATCAGTGATACACATAATTTTCAGTACATGCCTTACTATATACAATTTGCCTAAACGCAAAGGCGGTCGTGAGTTGGCAAAGTTGCACACATGAGCGATGATTGCAGGCATACTCAGGGCCAAAAAGTGCTTGCAATAAGTTACCGAGGAATATGTTCTAGGCTTCAATGAAAGGTAACCAGGCGAAATATGGACAATTCATTGCAT